GGGAGGCCTGAGGGGAAGGAGGGGCTGGGGGAAGCTTGAGGCCTTGAGGACCCTCAGAGTTGGCGGGGCTCCCTGGGGGTTCCGGGACGGGGAGGGTCAAGCAGCATCCGCGGCTTTTTTCTCCCTCCACGTGGCCCGGGCTGCGGGAGGTCAGGGCCCCGTCGGGGTGGGATGGGCACCCTCGGTGCCTGAGCGCCCACGTATTTCCCAGGTGCCTTCCCCGGGGTCCGCGGGGACGGCGAGGGGGCGTGAAACGCAGCGAGATATGGGTCAGCCGAAAGGGCAGGGGTGGCCTCTCTGCCTGGGGAGCTCCCTGGGTGGGGAGGAGTGCCAAACGGCTTCAGGCTGCTGGTGTTACTGATGTGTGCAAGGAGCGGGGCCTGAGAAATAGGACTGCGGCCTCGGGGAGCTTAAAATAACATACAGGCAGCTCGATACCCTCGTGTTGTGTGGAGCAAAGTATGAGTGTGAAGCTCCTCCAACACTAATTTAGAAAGTACTGTTCTAGGATGTTAGTCTGTCCTAATATCTGTTCTGTATTCCTCCCTTGGTTTCACAGGATAATGTGGAGAGGGCAGATGCACTCCAGTTAACAGTGGAGGAATTTGTTGAGCGTTATGAAAAACCTTATAAGCCTGTAGTCTTGCTGAATGCTCAGGTGGGCTGGTCTGCCCAAGAAAAGTGGACTCTGGAACGGCTGAAACGCAAATATAGGAACCAGAAGTTCAAATGTGGGGAGGACAATGACGGTTATTCTGTGAAGATGAAGATGAAATACTACATAGAATATATGGAAACGACACGCGATGACAGCCCACTCTACATCTTTGACAGCAGTTATGGAGAGCATCCCAAGCGCAGGAAACTCCTGGAGGACTACAAAGTACCCAAATTCTTCACTGATGATCTCTTTCAGTATGCAGGGGAGAAACGAAGGCCTCCTTACAGGTATAGTACAGTGACAGCAAGATAAAACTAGGTATTTTCTGTCTCACTAGCTATTCATAAAAAGGTATGATTGTCTTATATAAAACAAAGTGATAGCTTCATGTCCACTCTTGAAATGAATGTACATCCATAAGGCAGAGGGAAGGAAGGACAGATTTGTGTATCACAGTTTCTGGTTCTGCCACCAGTGTTGCTACAGGATTATGTTTGGGGTTTTTTCTTTTTGTTAAGTCAGTTTACCTCACTTCTTAGATCTTTAAAAAATTACATAGTTACTGAAAGTTATGAAGATTAATTTCTTGCTGTGTGTGCCTTCTGGCTTTCAAATTTCAAAGTGCCTCAGGACTAGCTCCTAGGTTTTGCACCACTGGCTTATGTACAGTGTGGAATTTTGTTTAATTATGAGTCAGTCCTTTTAAGGTAAAGATCTTAAGCTAGATTAGCATGAAGTGTGGAGAATAGTTCTTAGCTCCCCTTCAGATGATTTTGAGAGAGAACAATAGTCTTTTCAGCTCTTTTTTTTACGTCTGATTGGAAAAGGACTGAAATGACACTTCGTTCCTGAATTCACATGCAACAACCTTGTATTTGGGCTGTTAGATAGAAAAGCAATTCCCATCTATGTTGATATAACGCTTCATAAGAGTACGAGGATAAGCTTAACCCTCCCAAGTAATTAAAGTCTTTACAGCAACGTTGTAATTGTCAGAGAATGCCTTGCCCTTCAAGTGACATGAGGCTGTGATGTGGGTTTTTTAATTGTTTGAGTTTTTTAAATAAAGTAGAACAAGTAATGAATAATGGTACTCTTCTCTGCAGTCTCACGTGTCTGTAGTCCAGTTGTGCTTTTGCAGGAGTGAAGCATGAAATTAGTTCTATTTAAGATCCCTGAAGTAGGTGTTTTTACAGTGTTGTAACAGACTTTCTTTATAATTCACTTTTAAGAAGAACATACAGTGCTGTGATCAAATGCAGAAGCACGCCAGGTGTAGTTTCTGGCAGAAACTGAATACACTTACAGAACTGGGAAACATTTATCCAGGTTATAGGTAAACTAGATAATCTGGTTGTGACTCACTTGCATTGCTATCTCCCACACTCTCCCCACCTACAGGTGCATGCTGAGTTCCTTGCTTGTGGTCTTGGTATTAACAATTCTTGTATTTTGTTCTGGAAAATGTGCGTTTGTTTGAGGCTGTTACCATTTTTTGAGAGATGAGTGGTGCAAAGGAGCACACTGATGCCTCCTAGATTAGGGCTTTCATACAGAAAGCAGTGAAAAGTATCCAGTAGTTTAAGAGTATCATTGAAAATCCAGCAGGAAGTGGTGCTTTCTAATCATATGATCAGGATATGAACTGTACAGCTTGACCTGTGGATTGAGAGGTGTGTGACAGTATATAGATGTTGAAGTAAGAACTCTTTAGAGCATCTTTATTGGTTTTGTTCCCATTTATTTTAAAGGCAGTAATTTTTGGAAGCCATTTCCTCAAGCAGCTATTTTAGGGTGGTTGGGGGGTTCTTTTAAATTGAAGTTGCAGGTTGTGAAGTTTTTAACGGTAAATTTGATGTCTTGTGGGAAACTGGATTATGTTCATTGTAAATTAAACGCCTGGAGGAAGATACTGGTAAGTGATCATGTTGCTAAATAAGGGTTTTTAAATCTTCTGTGTGTGTAGATTCAGGTTATAGTCAGAAAAATGGTATTCAGCAGTGCGTCTGTGTACCAGACAGATCTTTGTGTTTAATTTCTTCTGATTTCTTAGTAAAAGCTTTGACTGTTTTGCTTGTGGTTTAATTAGCTTTCCAAGGCTAATAGGAGTCTAAAGAGTGAATTGACAATAGAAGTGACAAACAGCTGCTTATTTATGTTTTGATGGATCCTTTGTGCAGTAGGAAGAGTGCAGCTTGATAATCAAACTTAAAGTCCTGCAATTTGTGCTTGTGAATGATACTTGGAAACCAGCTTGATTTACACCTGCATTGGAAAGGGGAGATGGAGAGCTTGCTGACTTTCGATATTTTCTGAACCTTTGAACTCCTCTTGCTGGGTATCACCTGCATGTCAGCCACACGATGGAAGGATCTTGTTGGTGCTTTAGTTTCTACCCTCTCTGCTGCCCATTAAACAATTATTGCCATTTTTTCCCTCTTGATGCCTGATATTAAGTCACCTCACTTACACTGCTTTATCTAGTATGGTATGTCTTACTGTTCTGTTTCAGGGGAAATGAGCAATTGAAGGTGCTGCTGCTGTTAAACATGTATGGTAGATAAAGTTCTCCATTGGGAGAAATAAGCCTTGCAAATGGGGAATGAGAATATACACACCAAATCCTGAATGGTCACTGGGGAATAAACTCCATCTAGTTAAATGTTAGAATGAAAAGCCTGTTGTAAATGAACAGAAGGCATAGAGGGAGGCCAGGGTTGCGTAACTTCGCTCTGTTCCTTACTTGTATTGCCTTTTGTTTCTTCCTTATTGTTCTGCAGTTCTGTATCCGTTTGAGTAGTGAATTTTAGAAAAACATAGGATTAGGAGAATTCCCTTGCATAGTAAGAATCCTAATGCAGGCTGTTGTGACTTAATCACATTCATAAACCTTGAAATCACTATATATTTTATTGAAGAACTGTTAAAAAAAAAAAACAACTCTGAAAGACAAAAAGCTATCTTTACTTTGTTGTCCCAAAGTCATTCCTGTCCCAGTTAATGTTGGTTTTTTAGGATAAACCATGTTGTATCCTTTTGCTGTAGCGTGAACCTAACAATCTCAAGAAGGTAAATGAAGGAACTGTAGCTACCTTGATTTCTAACTGTATGTGAAATTAACAGCTGTAATTTTCTGTTTAATATGAAGAGAAGAGAAGGTGGCTACTTGCTTACTCTATGACTAATGGATTTTTCCTCCCCCCACTCCATGCAGATGGTTTGTGATGGGCCCACCTCGTTCTGGAACAGGAATTCACATTGATCCCTTGGGAACTAGTGCATGGAATGCCTTGGTCCAGGGACATAAACGTTGGTGCCTGTTCCCTACCAGCACTCCCAGAGAGCTGATCAAAGTGACGCGAGAAGAGGGAGGGAACCAGCAGGATGAGGCTATCACTTGGTTCAATGTCATCTACCCTAGGACGCAGCTCCCCACCTGGCCCCCTGAATTCAAACCCCTGGAAATCTTACAGAAACCAGGCGAGACAGTCTTTGTGCCAGGTATGTACGAATCTCTCCAGTAAGGAAATCTTGGAAAGAAAAGCATATTTTTAACATTTGCTTGTAGTAGAGTGGAAGAGAATATTTCAACTTTTCTTATATGGCTCATCTTTTACAAGAGAAACTATCTTGGCTGTTTCAAAAGGGATATATATTGTGAGGTGCATTTTGAGACTATTCAGTTATCTTCTGCATGTCCTGAAACATATATGGCCTGTAGCATAGGATTGCTTGTGGTACAGATGACAAAACAAACGAGACCTGAGTTGTGTTACCACAGGAATGCAATGCTGAACTGAATTGCGGTAATACAAAACTATCAAGCAATAAAATAAGAGGTGTTTGAGTACTAGTAACTCTTAAACAAAAATGTTTGAGTTTTTATACACTGTAGAAAATTCATGACTGAGTTTTGTAGCCTGTGTAGTCTGACTGCATATGAATTTTTCTTAGCTGTGGGAAAAGAACTACTTAAAGGCGCTGACACTTTCTACCCACGTCTCTGTGGTTATGCTTCATCTTGCATTTGAAATCAAAAGCTAAAGAAAGTTCTGTTAAAGATTCCATTCTCTTTGAGTGGCTGCACACTGTGTGCCCATTGTAACTGGGAGGTGAGGTGGGTAGTGGATAAAGCAGGTGAGTTCAGGGCCAAATTCTAACCTCTAAGTCTTGCGTCATTTTTGTGCAGCATGGCCCATAGCTTCTATCCACATTGCTTGTCTCTAACATACAGCTGACTTCATGTTTGGAGAGTGCCTTGTGATTGTCTTGGCACTTGCTGGTGACTCCTCAGTGTACCTTCTGTTAAGATTTTGTAGCTGTTGGGTTCCTTAGTCTTTTTATGAGGCTGTAAGTGGGTTGCAAGAACACCACTGTCTATTTCTATCCTGTGTGGGGAAACAATTTTGCATCTATTTTTAAATGAAGAGTTAGTTTGTAGTCATAAGAACCTTACTAAATCAGCATGGAAGGTGCTCTCCAGCTTAACAGAGAGGGTCTCTGTGCATTCTGGGTTACAATGGCTCTTGCTATTAAATAAACCATCAGTAGTCAGTGTATTGCTGTCAAGTCAGATCTTCAGTACTATTCGTGAGCTGGATAATGTGGTCAGAGAGTTGAGCAGCCTTCTGCACTGAAAATCTGCATAACATTGGAGCAAATGCTGAAATAGGACTGGCGAAAGATGACGTGATGTCAAACTCACCTGGGTTTGGGAGATAAAGTTCAATTTCCACCTGTGCTATGGAAAAAGTGTTCACGGCTCTTCTTGAACTTGCTTTCTGCTATGCAGCCAGAAATGGTCATTGGTCATGTGTTTATAGGTGGCTGGTGGCATGTAGTTCTCAATCTTGACACAACTATTGCCATCACACAAAACTTTGCCAGTTGTACCAACTTCCCCGTGGTGTGGCACAAGACAGTAAGAGGGAGACCCAAATTGTCACGGAAATGGTACAGGTAAGAGATTTAGTAGCTTTCTTTTCAGATTCTCTATTTAAAACAAAACCCAAAAATACCCTATTTGTTTACACACAGTGTTACTGTTCAAAGGCTAACCCTGAAATTTTAACTGTATTTAGGATCCTAAAGCAGGAACATCCTGACTTGGCAGCTTTGGCTGATTCAGTTGACCTGCAGGAATCTACTGGTATTGCTTCCGATAGTTCTAGCGATTCTTCCAGTTCCTCAAGTTCCAGCTCCTCAGACTCCGATTCAGAGGTAATGCTTTTTACTACAGTAGGTGATCCATACCCTGCAATTATATTGTTTTTTCCATACTTGATCATGTGTCCTCATTCTAATATTCATGTCTTATAGAAGAAATTAATAGAAAGCAACTAAACAAGCTAAACAAATCTACATGGTAGAGGAGGAGCCTATGGTATTAGCAGGTTCTGTTTGCTGAAGCCTCTCTTTGTGTTGCTAAATGAATTTGGTTTGTTTGATCTATGTTTATATTGTATATAAATCTGTCACTTGTTTAGCTAAGCCATGCTTGTGTAAAATGGCTGAAAAATGGATGTTTTAAAAATAGAGAGGGGGAGCAAGATCCAAAACTGAGACTGTCAGTTATGACGGGGGACTTTTATAGGTACCTAAGTGCTTCAGAAAGCACTGAGTCTGCTCTCAGAAAATTGTGTCCTTCTGGGAGCCAAAACGAACACATCATTTATCTTGCCCCAAGCCAGCTTAGTCAGTGGTGAAATCTAAGAACATACCTGTTCTTGCTTTTTAAACAGTTAATTTAAAATTTACTTCACGTGTCTAGCACGTTCTTTGAATCTTGATTACTCATGGTTGCTGAGGTAGCTCTTATGGTGAATTCCACAGCACAAACAGTTTACTAGGTTTCTCTGAATTCTGGTTTCATCTCTTCATACTTCAGTGTGACTCTGGCTCTGAGACAGAGGGGATGATGCACCGGAGGAAAAAGAGGAGAACGTGCAGCATGATGGGTAACGGTGATACAACTTCCCAGGACGACTGCGTGAGCAAAGAGCGCAGTTCCTCCAGGTGACCCGATGGCAACTGTTGGTTTTTAAGCAAGCAAAAGACAATGCAAGGCAGAGCTGTCAGAGTTAAGATAGGGTGATTCATCAGGACAGAGGGATGGGAGAGCAAGGGGTCCCTTACAGAATGTAAAGCAGTTGGCCGGTGGTGATATCTTCCCTCCAGGAATTATTTTAATTGCTCCAAAGGGAAAACTAAGATTCTTGATTTTTTTTTTTTAATGAGGTTTTTTACTTTATTTAATAAACAGTTTTATTACTTTTCATAGTTGTCTCTTTTAATAGAGAAAGTATTTTATTTTGTTTTTTTTTAATGGGAGAAGTGGGATATTTTAACCTTGCTCTTCAGAGAGCACAAATGAATAGTAAGCAGTTAAAGATGAAGAATGATCAGGCAAGACTCAGGTTTCAATGCCGCCTTGTCCAAATGGAAAACCTTCAAGTAGTTTTATGGTTTCTGTTATTGTTGCTTGGATTACGTCAATTTGGCCCACTGTTTTAGCTGTTAAAGGTAAAATTCATACCAAATCCCAAATGTCTGTGTTTACCTATTTTAAAAAAAAAACAGTTTCTAGTCAGTCTGGAGCGGGGGAACATTAGCATTGCACAACGAAGAATAGATATTGCTTAGCGTAAAATTGCTGAGGGAGGAAGTTCTCTGGACTTTCAAGGTTAAAAACAGTGAAACACTGGGAATCTGGGAGTATACTGCAGGGAGGAACTTAGAAATTCTTTGCTAAATGAAGCATTTTTCTCATCTAGCAGAGGCTGGCCAAAATTCTTAAGCAAATTCCTTGCAGTTTGGTTAACTGATGCTGCTGTATTAGCTTCTGGCCAGTGTTAGGTGCTGTGTAGTTACTGAGCTGTTGAATACTCCAGGTTTGGCAGGGATGCCAGTGCTGTGGTGACTTACCTTCTTTAGCAGGCCACGCAGTGTGCAATAGTAATTTACCTGAGGAAGTCCAAATTCCCAGTATCATGCCTGACTTCCCAGTGCAGGGTACTGCCTAAAGACCTGTTTACTCCTGTATGTGTTGCCATTTATCTTGCTGTGATATATTGCTCTCATTTTCAGGAGTTGCTCATAACTGAATAAAATTGAATTATAAGTACAGAGCATCATTAAGCAGCTGGGAGATAACTGTACTGACTGCTTATTTTGACCGGGAGGTTTTAACAATTTGTTTGTTATGACGTTGTCAAATCCCATTTCAGCAGCCAGTGCGACTTCAGGCAGGCAATGAGCAGCAGGAGATAACAAACCTTAATGCAGACCCTGGTTTTCAAAAAAATAAAAATAGAAATAAGCTGTAAAAATGCAGAGCACATGGGCAGATCTGTTCTTCTGAAAATCCTGTGCATTTTTAAGTTGTGTGCACTTCAAATTTTGAAATTAATACCTTTAATATTAGAAATTAGCACATTGCCTAGAACACTTGCTTTCCAGATTTCACTGTTCTTCCTCCTGTATGTTGATTATTTCACTTAGTAAGGATGAGTGAGCTTTCTGCTCCAGCTTTGTGGTAGATTAGTTGATAGAAACAGTTCCAAACATAAAATCTTACCTAGCTTGTACAATTCTGTATTAAGAATAAGCATACAATTAACCTGCATGCTGCTGTCTTTGGCCTTATATGAAGGGAAATGCTATGGTTGTTGACAGGCAGTTGTCCTTTTTTTGACAGGATTAGGGAGTCTTGTGGAGGCCGCAGCTACCCCTGAGCGATAACAACACCCACCTAGAGGCAGCTGCCGATCGAAGCTCCATTAGCAGCCAGCCAGCTCTGTTCTACCCCCTTCTGCTTCTATTTCTCACAGTCCTTAAAGTTTTTGTCACTCTTCCTCGATCCACACATCCGTCTTCATTATGTGCTGTCGAAGGTTGCCTCCTTAATAACTTCTAGGGGAATGCCCCGACTCTACATTATTGTGCAATGCTTTGTCCCCTCTGCGCCCCAAGTGAGTGCACTAATAACCCACCTTTGGGTAAGGACATGCCAAGTATTTAATGGTTCACGTAACTGGCAAGGAAGACAATGGTCAGTTTTTAAAGAACTCTTTTTAAAACCAGCAGGTAAATGGAAAAACCTGCCTTGCTTTGACACTGTCATATGTTTACATGTTGTCCTGTACACTTGAGGAAAGGAACACCAGCCCTTCTGGCCTATCTGAACGTTCAGCGGATCTTGCACCAGAATTTCAGGAAGGGAAGGTGGTATGAATGCTCCAAACACTGAAGCAACTTCAGCGGAGGTGACCACCAACCTGAAGCATCTTTCATGGTCTTAATCTACAACGCGTACATCCTAGGCGCAACACCTTAACCAGCAACAGTCCATTTACTTTTGCTCTGCGTCTGTTATGGTGACTGGTAACAAAGATGCACTAGCACCTTGTGATAGGAAGCTTGATGGAGCAGGAGAATTCTGGAGTTTCTTGCACAGCAAAAATGTGGGGCAAAAGTCAACATTTGCCAGTAATTACAATCCTTTAGGTGCAGGCATAATGTTTAGCACTAGGCAACATCTGGCAAAGTCCGACTCATATGATAACAACAGTTGCTGGGACTTAAATACCAAGCAGTTATAGGACCATGGGCTCGCTCAGGCCAGTGCAGTTCACATACCTAAATGGCTTTTCTTTGAGGTTATGGGTTCAGATGTTTCCAGAAGTTGCAGTGCCAATTTTAAAGGACTGGGAGGGGGCATATTGTTGTTTTATGCTTTTTTTTTTTAAATGCAATGTGTTGCTTAAGTCTGTGTAGATGCATTTGTATTATGCCAGGTAAAGCTCTCATCCCCAAGGGATCTGTTGGAGCTGCTGGGGTTTTTTTTAGCAGGGGCTTGTGCTGGTAGTGTCAGCAAAAAGGACTGTCTGGCTGAAGGTGTGCTGCAAGGAAACGATCCTTCTCTAGCTGAAGAGCACAGACAGAAGCTAGCTGGGTTGGGGTGCTTCCTTGGCTGCTCTCCTGAGACCTAGGAGGTGGGTACTAGATCTCACGTCAGCCATTCTTCTTTGGGAGAGGAAACTTGAAAGCAGAAGTAGTGTGCGTGTAGTAAACATGCAATAATGCCCAGGCACTAGTGGCAGAATTAAAAAGCAGATTGGCAGCCTTAACTGTGACTTTCTTATACATGTTGGGTTTGATGGAACCCAGAACACTGCTTGTCTGGGTTTTTGGATGTTTTTTATAACTTAGTCTCTTCCTATTTAAACACTCTCTCCCTTCTTGGAGACCAGGCCGTATCCTGTTGTACAAGGGAATCCTAAATACATTTGTCAGGATCTCTGTTTCTGAATCTTCTGTGCCAGTCACTTTGTCTAGGAGCAGTGTGGTGGTGGAAAAATGGAGAGAGGGAAGGTTTTTTTGGTACCCTCTTGAGCTGTCCAGACTCCTGAATTTCCTGTGATAGCCAGGCATAAGTGAGCACACTTGCTCTGTAGACTGCTGCACATTCTTCCACAAAATTACTTTAATGCAAAAAAAAAAAAAAAAAAACAAAAAAAACAAAAACCCACACTTCTCCAACTCCTCACATTTCTGGCCAAGGTTGCCTTTTTTCCTGCCTGGTTGAACAGCCTGGGAGCCTGCACAATCTGTATGTCTTCTCAGACAGAGCAGGCCGCATCTGCTGCCTTTTGGAAGAATGTGGGGGCCTGGAGACGTGAAGGCTTAGAAGTCTCAGCTCTGTCATGATGAGGGGAGCCCTTAGAGAACTGTCCACTGCCCTCTTTGGTGGCTTGACAGTTAGTATGTTAGTAAGATGGCTTATGGTGTAGCTTGCAATTGTGTTTGGCATGCATGGTTCTGTCTTAAAATCTTACACGTGCGTGCAAGCCTGATCGCTGTGCTGGGAAAGCCACACCTCTACCACCAGAAGCACAATGGGAAGATCCAGAGCGCAGAGTATTCTTCCGTGCCTATGAACTCTTCCATGACGTGAAATAAAACAATTTCAGATTGAAGCCTGTGTTCGTTTGACACCTCCCGCAGAAAAGCAGTGTGTTTGAAATGGGCTGCAGGCATCATGATACCAGCAACGCTACACTGACTTCTCCAGAAGGCACTTCCGATAGGAAATGAAGGTGTATCTGTGTGGGCTCCGTGGGAATCGGGACTCCTGGGATCTCTGGTTCTTCTGCTTACAGGCTCTTGCCTCAGCTGAATTGGTGAGCTTCTGTCTTTGTTTTAGTAGATGAGGAAAATACCTACCTCACAGGGGTGTTGTGAGGCTGAAATGTAATTACTGTGTAAGATGCTTTAAAGTTGTCCTCCCACAAAAACTGTTCCAGACATCCTAAGCAACCTGAGACTTCCTAACCTGGTGTTAGCTTTTTGTAGCAGAAAACATTGGGGATGTTGTTCAGCAGTCTTGGCCACGTGGTGTTCTGTGGTGGCCCTTGCAGAATTGCTGTGTGGTACATATACTGTAGCAGAACAAGGCTTTTTGTTTTTACCAGTTTAACTGTTGGCATCTTATGGCCCGCTCTAAACAGGAGGTCCTGCTAGATCAGGATCTTTTTTAAATAGGACTAGATTAAATTATCTCCCATCAGGGAGTCAGCTTCACTGGCCTTAAAGGAAAGGGGGGAGCTGGTGCTTCCCAGGCCCTCATTCCAGGCCGGGTGAATGAGGAATAAAGTTAAAAACTGTGCTCCCCTTGTGCCTAGCTCCATGCTTGTGGGAGGCAGACTGGGGAGAGTGGGTTTTGTGCTCTCGCTTCTCCAGGCTTGTGCTTCTTGGGGCATCTGTGTCTCTTGTTCCAACCCCACTGCTTTTGTGTACTGTAGCAGGCTGCTGTGGTCCAGCACCCAGACCCAGTGGGCCCCTTGTTTCCTTGAGCCTCAAAGCAGCAGCGCTGCTCTGCCTCAGCCCCCACCAGCGCTTTGTAGGCTACCTTGCTCCCCAGGGACAGGCTTTAGAGAGCTGCGTGCCGGGCTTGGACTGTGGGCTTCCTGATTGTACTGTGTGTACTAGTGTCATCGCCCTGCCTGGTCTGGTGAAAGGTAAAGGGATTTGTGAGCTCTGGCCATGCTTTTGAGTTTGGTAACCAATACAGGCTTGTCTGCTCTGATAGTCCAGGAGTAAAGGAATAAATACCCCGTCAGAGCTGTAGATGTGAACAACAGGCATGCTGATCCCAGCACCTGTTCTCTGCGCAAGTGCTGTGGGAGCAGGTGACTCCGAGGAAGCAGTGGCGTACCTTCCTCTCCTTTCCAGCTTGGATACGCTGGCTGCTCCAGTTTGTCTTCTCAGTTACATTAAGCCTCTCCAAATGCTTAGAAGAAAGACAGCAACCTGTTTCATAATTAACCTAGACCCTTTTCTTCTCTGAATTCCCAGCCATCGTGGGGCAGGAAGCAAGACTGTTGACTGAATCAAATCTGAAATGCCTGCGTGGGCTAATCGTAATGAGAGGTTTTTGGCATCCCCCTTGCAAAGGGAGAAGGAAAGAGCTTACTGATTCATTTGACAGTCACACTGTCAGCTCCAAGCCCTGCCACTGCCATTAGCTGCTTTTATCACCCCATCCAGCAGAGCTGGGATACTCTTAACTGTCTTGTTTGGATGATTGTGGTTTTTGCCTTTTATTTTAAATAAAACCAATTATTTTGCATTATTCTGTTGGCTAGTCACTTGTTTTTTTTCATATCACGATCTGAAAAAAAACTACAGGTGTACACCTCTCTTTCCCAAAGTACCGCCGTATGCTAACTGGTGTTCAGGTCATAGCTATGGGGGTGCTTTGGGGGACTTTCTCCAGCTCTTTCTCTCCTGTGATTAGTACATCTGTATGGCTGGATGTGTTTTGGAAGCTGCTGGGGCTGTAGTGGCTTTTGGAGAAGGTTTGTCAGTAGCTTTGTTACCAGACTGCAATGTGTGCTCTTGTCCCTTCCCCATCCTCCCCAGGCTGTATTACAAGCAGCCTTGTGTTGCGTCTCTCTTGCCACCTAATACTGGCGAGAGGGGGTTTTATCTTCCAGGTGTTGCGTACTGCTTTCAGCTTAGCTTCTGGGTAAGACGCGCAGTACGGAGAGTCGCTGTGGAAGGGCTGACCTTCCTTCTCCCCTATACCCGGGGGCTCACGAAGAGAGCTGCTTCCAAGGCACTCCTGTGTATCTGAAGGTGCCTCTGAGGGGTTTGGCTGTGTAGTGGAACAAGGATTGGGAAAATGGAAAAATGTGCATATTTTGTTACTGCGCTTTGTTCAAACCAGTAACTGTAGGTAAATAAACTGAAGCAGAGTGTGGGACAGCAGCCTGGAGGCTTTTGAAATATTTATATGAATGTATTGTAGAATGAAACACCTTGAAGCGTAAATGGTTTTGTGGAGGCAGCAAATTTGCCGATTTCTGCACAAACCTGTGTCCTTCCTTTCCCAAACTCTGATGTAAACACTTTTCTTGATTACTGTCACCTATAAAACTGATTTTTTTCCTCCTTCCAGTTGCTCTTCAGAAGATCTCTCCCTGTGCCCTGTTCACATCCTCTGCTACATGCTGTCTAGCTCAGTGCAGCCAGGCACAATTAGCAAATGAGCCCCTGCTCTCCGTGTGGGCACTCCGGGTGCATTGGCACTTGGCATTTAACAAGACCCAATTCCAGAAAATGGTATGAATTGTAGTGGTTGAAAGCACTGTAGAGCTGTTGTAGAAATGCTTTTATAACATGTCTCCTTCTGCTTTTCATTCCCAAGAGAGGCGATTTCGTGTGCTTCCAGCTTTAAGGTAATCCTATGGTTCTTCCTGATTTGCAGGTACTCCTGGTACCTTCTCCAGTGCCAGTGTGGCTTGCAATCTAGACCTGATTTATTTTTATTCCTCTGATTTATCTACCTGTCTTCCTTTTTGTGACAATTGCAACCTAATACCTTATTTCAACAAGGAGGACGGCATACTAATTTTTAATTGCTCCCGGGGAGCCAACAAGACGAAGTTACCTGAGTGGGAATGCAGAGGTTGGACAGTCTGTGCTGCACCCTTGCTGATGTTGTTGCTCCTTTCCTCCAGTTTGATGTAAAAGCAAATAACTACTGGTATTTCTTTTGTGGCAGTTAGAAAGCCAGTAACAAAGAGAACAGGGCTGCATTCCTACTTGAGTGTTAGCCACAGCACTAAAAAGCTGTGTGTTTTAAGACTAGTTTGGGAATAAACTAGTACGCTTGCAGAATCTCATCTTGTTTTCAAGGCATGTAAAGACTCCTCTGTGGGACTGCACCTCCTCTGTTTCTGGAGGAGTGTAAATTGAGGCAGGCAAAGCTGCTGGAAATGTGTTCAAAAGGAAATAATCACTCCCTGTCCCTTCTGGTTTGAGAGCTGGGGGCTCCCACCTGTATGTGATGCCTGTAATTGTTGTGTGTCCTTTTTGTTCAACAGAAGGACCTGAAACTGGGGGTCTGCCACC